GCATCATTTGAGCCGGCCTGCAACTCTGCCGCTTCTCCCCTTTCATCTCCCCACTGTCGCCACTCCCATTCTTTTCCTTGCAGTGGCAGCACCACCTCCTCTTCCTCTCCCCTCCCTCTTCCTGTTCCCCCACCCCCACTAAATTAGCAATGGCAATAGCAATAGCAATAGCAATAGCAGAGAGAGTATGTTCTCTTCCACCTTCTCCTCCCTGCCTTGCCTCACTGAGGAGATCCTTCTTCAAAACCAGCCATTCTGGGTGAGGTGCCTGTGCTGTCTGCCATTCAGGTTTGCCATGGTGGCTAGAGAGGCTTTTTAAACTTAGAATGATATTGGAATAATTAAAAGCAGCAGGGTTGTTCCCCATCCCCCCCCAGCCAGAACTCACTAGAACTCTGGCAGCTCTGAGGTGGGCACCATTGGCATTCTAAGAGAACAAGGGAGGTGTTCATGGTGAGTTCTGGCACCATTTTTTTTTTAAAAAAGCACCAAAAAGCAGTAATAATTTCGGGGTTTCCTGAATTGGTTCTTCTCCTTTGTAATACTGTAACACAGTGTTGTGAATGGCAGGTGGATGCGGCTTTAAATCACTCATATATAGCTCATTTAGTGGTTAGTTTTTGTGTAATGACTTAGTATATTGCACAAGGCTCACTGTTTCATCCCAAATAGTATAATGTAGATCTCTTCCACAAGAGTAGAGGGCATAAATTACCCTTCTCACTTTCCTTCAAATAATTGGGTACTGGAATGTTATCATATTGGTGGAATTTATTGGTGGGGTGCTGAATTTATGATTTTCCATGCTTTCCCTTTGGGGGGGGTGGAATCAACATTTTGAAAAGCATTGGCAGGACTTGAATAGCTTTCTTCCATAATTGCCTTTGTTTTGGTTGCATGGTAATTGTATTTTGTGTCTGTTCTTGGATAATTATGTAATTGTTCATAATCTCTGTACTGAGAGAAAGACTTTCCTATTATTCATAAAAGGTAATAAGTAGAAATTAAGTTACAGTGTTACAAACTGGGATTTTCAGTATAACGTAAAGGCCCAAATAGCCACTGGAAACTTGCTTCAAATGCTGTAAGCTGAAGGTTTTCTTGAGGATGCCAGTCTGCTAGCAACCAAAATATCTAAATATCTCTTAAGTTCAAAGGCTAAAATAATAGAAATGGAAGGAACTTGAAGACCACCTATAGGTAAAGCACAGTCTCTTATATGCATAAGAATGGCATCGTTTCCTTGGATCCAAAGGGCAGCATTCTGTTTTCAGCAATGTCCAAACAGAAGTCTTTGAGAAGTTTATAAGCAGAGAATAAGCAGAAAAAATAATTTATTGTTGTCTGCGCCAATATCTGCTAACCAGATACTGGTTCTGAAAATGTAAAGATCAGTTTTTAAACTATTTATATCCTGCCTTTTTGCTATAATGCACAAGATGTTCTGCAGAAAATTAAATGCTAGCAACATTCAGTGGTAGCTAAAAAAAGTTTTGCAACACTTTTCAAAGGCAGACCCATATAAAGCATGTTTCAATGTTTCAGTGAGAAGGTGACTGAAGTATATGTGTCACCACAGCCAGATCTGCCTTCTCAATGAATCAATTCTTCTTTAAGGACTCCTTGCCACAGTGAGTTGCTGAACATCCAGCAGGAAAGCTGGGTCAATAAGCACTTCCAGTTGAACACCCGATTCTTCAAAGGAATTGCAACCCCATCCAAAACAGACTGAAGTGCCATTCCCTGATCTGCATTTCCATTGAACAGGAACACTATATTCAGCAGTTATCCACAGATCCCCCATGAATTTGTCAAATGGCTTTAAAAACATTTTTACTGTCTTCATTGCAGGCAGTGGAGTCATAGAACTCAATTAAGCACACGTTGGGGAGAGACGTGCCTCAGTCCTTTGGAAATGTATGGAAGATATATTACAGTAAACTAGGGTTAGCCATCATTACCCATGGTTTATGAAATCCTGTTGGAAAATGTGACTAGACAGAGAAATAGAGTCTGCAATAAATCAGTGATGTTCATTAGCTCATAAAACAGCTACAGAGAATTAGCTGAAACAAACATTATAGCATATAGTGCAGATAAAGCACTACTATATGCACTTTTTAAAAAACCACACACCCTAGAAATCAGGATTTCAATAAAGGAATAAATATGATTCCAAGTGTAATCCTATTCACATTTTTTGTTACTTAATTTCTGCTGAATTGGAATCTCCAATTGGAAGCCACATCCTGGCTTTCCATAGTGGTGGTGCTGAAGTTAGCAGAGAGCAGGCCAACACTGCTGTTCTCTTACAAACTACCACAGAGCTCAGTCACCCTGCGCTACTTCCAGTATCCCTTATTTGAGACTATCAGTGCCTTACAGCTAGGTACCTGACACGATCAGACAATGTTTGCGCCTGCCATGGGGCAGTGGACAATGCGTTCCATCCAACTTGCAAGCCAAAATTAAGCTTCCAAAAGGTAGATAGCAGATAGCAATAACAAGACTAAAAGTGCCAGCAGAGACTAATATACCCAGTGCCTCAAGATTGTGTTTGAAGTTTAATTACAAGAACTGTCAGGAGATAGGGAAGAGGGAAGAGGGTTATGTAGCAGAAGTCTCAGGATGGTCTTCATTTACAGAGGGTTTCTGAAGAGCTTTCATGGTTTTCAAATAAAAACGTTTTGAATTAATAAATAAGATTGAAACGCTAAACCAAAGTGGGTTGTGATGAACACACATTGGCTTTTAACGTAGAAACCCAGGGCTCAGCACATTGAACTTGATTGAACTCTGTGCCTTGCCTTAATTCATCTCCTAGCAGGAAATATATTGTAAGGATAAATGAGATGTCGAGCCTATCAACAGATTTCAGCGCATGCTGAAAAATGCTGTACACGCTACCAGTGACATTAACAATATTTTACAATTTTAATAATTGCATAATAGTTATAAAACGGTGTTTTGTAGTTAAAAGGAGAAAGGAGATATTGCTGCCCAATCTATCTCTAGAGGGGCCTTTTGATCCAGAAGGACTTTTCTTGAATATGCATGCATATATGTGTACCAGACCGATGTTCACATTTGGGGTCTTTCTGTCCTTTTGGATTTTTTCTTCATAGCTGGAGGGACAGCCATGAAGGACTGGGAAAATGTAGATGTCAGGATGACCCTTAAGAATGTTTCTTGGTTTCAGCCAAGTGGGATTCTCCATACGACCACCACATCTGCTTTGATAATTCTAGTCTAGCATCCTGTTCTCACAGCGGCCAGCCAGATTCCTGTGGGTAACCTGTAAGTAGGACCCAAGCACAAGAGCCCTTTCCTCCTCCTGTAGTTTCCAGCAACTAGTATTCAGAAGCATACTACCTCCGACTGTGAAAGTAGAGCATAACCATCATAGCTAGTAGCCACTGAGAGCCTTAATTCTCCAGGAATTTGCTCTAATGCTTTTTTTAAGCCATCTAAGTTTGTGGCCATCACTTCCTCCAGTGGGAGTGAGTTCCGTTGTTCAAGCACACACTGCATAAATAAGTCCTTCTGTTTATCCACCCTGAATCTTCTTATCTATCCTGAATCTTCTTATCTATCCTGAATCTTCTTATCTATCCTGAATCTTCTTATCTATCCTGAATCTTCGAGCATTTGGCTTCACTGGATAGCCATGAGTTCTGGTGTTATGAGAGAGGGGGGGAAATGTTTCTCTAGCCACTTTCTCCATGCGTGCATAATTTTGTAAACTTCTGTCATGTCGCCTCTTACTCGACTTTTCTCTAAACTTTAACTATTATATCAATAGTTTCCCCGAAAACTGTTTATATAACAGTCTGTTCTTTTATGCTAGCCTGCAAAACCTGATTTACCCAGATAACCTTCTCCTCCTGTCGTGATTCTTTCATTTTGCAGTTACGCATACAGATACTGTAGATATAGAAATACATTTTAACATATAAATGTTTCCTATATATCTCTCTCACACACACAATGTGCATGTGTATAAACGTTTCCATTGACGCACATTTGTGATGAATAATTGTAATGCTTTGGAAGGAGGTCACAATCTGGTTGACTCACACAGCAAATGCGTTCATAAACAGCAGATAATAAAGATAATATTTCTTTCATAAAATAACTAATTGACAGCAAATATTATTGATAAGAATATACTTGCAAGGCTTTCTCACTATGCTTTCAAAGGCTCTCTATTCAGTAGAGAAACATTGCACTTATATTCTCATTCTCTCCATACTTTCAAATTATATTTTACCTCTTCAGATATGATGTTTTTTTAATATGGGGAATAAAGAGGCACTTAAGTGAATTAATGCACTAATTCCTTAGAACCTTTACAGCAAAGTAGCAGTTAAGTGAGTGCAGCATATGAAAGAAACAAGGTACTGTTTAATAGAAGAAGGGTTGCTAAGGCAGAGTAGAAGCTGTCAGCCATTTTGAGCCTCTGGGCCCATTTGGAATTCTGAAGAGTCCCATGGGCATCACCTTTCTGGTTGTTTTTCACCCTCTTCCTTCGTCACTCCCACCCAGTCAAGCAATAGGTTGTGCACAGGCATATATCCATTCACACACTTTGCTTTTCCGTTGGGTCTTGGTAAAAGGTGGATCCAGTAAAATTAAAACAGATCCTCTTGAATTTTCATGATGTTACAAATTCAAGTTTGCATAATAATAATAATGATGATGATAATAATAATAATAATAATTCAGATCTGGTGCTTGCTAGTAGCACGAAAACATTAACCTGTGGCACAGGTCCTCCCGGCTATTCATTGTTTTTATATAGGATGACAACAAAACAACCAAGTCACAGAACACATCTGTGGTCACAGAGACGACCTATGATTTGGTAATGGTTTTGAGGGGATCCTTTGTAAAACGTTATGAGGAGGCATAGTTTTTGCACCATAGCAGCACTGGAAAGCACAGGATCCATGAATGTGATTCAGCCAATTAAAACAGATCTGTGATTTGATGGTGTGGGGGGGGGGGTCACCTGTGTCACCTCAGCCTTCCAGATCACTCCCCTTTCCTCCCCCTCCCCTGCTTTCCATGTCATCTTCTTGGTTGCTCTACTTTCTTTTCAGTTGCTCAGGTGCCACTCTGAGCCTTGGAAAGTACATAGTGCTCCTTCAGCTCTTATTTCAAGGGGAGGAGGGCAGTAGCGCCACTTGCCACATCGCGATGAAGGCAGCAATGACAGGGGCCTCAGGGTCTTCGTTGTCACCCTTGTGCAAATAGGCGCTACACTGGTGACTCCAGAAGCTGGGCTCTCAGCAACGTTGTAGTGTTGTGTCAGCTTATACCTCTTACACCTTGTCCAGTGTCCTCCATGTAGGAAAACAGGTGAGAGATTTTTAAACACTTGAATGACATGCTAAAGGAGGGCATGTTTTTTACTTGCTGCTATCGTAACGCGGGAGCTTTCTAAATGTGCCATGTATAAGTTACTTTTTGGAGGATATCTGTACTTTTAAAACTTATGCAAAAGGACATTGGTGAAACAAAGTGTGAATGACGGGTGGGCGTTTGGAAGTGTGTAGACAGAATCACAAGCTTGCTTTTCGAGCAGCTTGATGGAGCAAAACCTGTTACAAAATAAAATATCGTTGACAGGTTGGAGATACTGCCATCTCTTCTCTATTAGAGGGCTTAAATATGAAATTAGCACTGTGCATTTGGATTATCTGCTTATCTTTCACTTTAGTTCTAATAGCGTAGAAATGCCAAGTATCTAGAAAGATCTAGAATTTGCAACTTCTCTTTTAAGTTTTATTTTCGGTAAGGGATTTCTGGGTATTCAATATAGCAAAACCTTCTGGGTGGTAATACAGCACTGCCTTTAGAGAAGAACAGTATCTAGGCTGGTGTGAGAAATCTTGCTCCTCTGTCACAGCAAAAAAGCAGAAGATAGTTCTTGCTGTTACTGGTAGCAGGAGCAGCATTAAAATGGATTCCAGTTATGTAATTAAGTATGTAAATTTAGTTGACCTTCTTTTGCATAATTATGTAGCTCAGCTGCTTACAATGCATATTGATTTAGAACACTAGGGTAATGTAAACCTACTGGAATAGCATTTCGCAGATCACACAAAATCTCAAAGCAGAGCAAGTAGCTTGTGTTCCTAACGGCTCAGGTTTTATTTAAAGGCTTTTCTTTCTGGAATCATATCATGGGATACTTTAATTTCTGAGGATGTATCTGTTTAAATCTTAGATTGACACTTTGGTTCCTTTTCTTTTTTAATGAATGGAATATTTAAAGCAAGTATTTGAAAACCATTTAGTGGAGTCGCTTCCTACACAGTTTAATTGAAAGTTTTTTTCTTTGGTCGTTTGTCACTCTTTTTTTTTCTAGTGTGTTTTTCTTTCAGGTATTTTGGTACACTTGGGTTGACTGGAACTTGAACTCGAGGATGGGCAAATGGAATAGACACACTAGTCAGTCTTAGTCCACGCTAAGTGATGAAGCTGCCTGGGGAACACCACATCTAGAACCTATGCTGGTGGTCCAGTGTGTGGATAATGTCATTTCATAGTTTAGTCACTAGGTGGCAATAGACCTAGTTGTATCTGGGTGAAGCTTCCTGTTCTGCTCTTGTTCTAGAGCACGGGTGCCAAACACAAGGCCCGCGGGCCGAATCTGGCCCGCCAGACCTCGTCATGTGGCCCGTGTAGCCGCCGCCGGCCGCCAGCCTTCACCTTTTAGTCTCGCTTTTTTTTTTTTTTGGACACAAGAAAGCCACCTCTTCAGCGCATGTGCGGCAGCCTACAAGCCAGAGAACGTCTGCCCTCTAGCGGCGCCGGCCGTTCTACACAGGAAACCTCCACTTTACATGCATTCAGGAAACCTCCACTTGTTTTTATATTGAGCGCGTGCCATCCTGTGATGTGACAGATCCAACGGCTGCCTGAACCCTTCTCTCCTGTACTGTGAGTCCTACAGATACAACCGGCCCTTTGAGGGTGACCAAACTGCTGATGCGGCCCCCGATGAATTTGAGTTTGACACCCCTGTTCTAGAGAAACAATAACTTTGCTTGCCTAGTTTCTTGACTGGTGCAAGCTTCTCCGCAAGATCGTTGCTATGCTAGCATGATTGTTTCTATTATGTCTGTGAGGTTAGGATTTGCTAAGTAAAGTGTCTCAGAATACTCTGGAATTTATGAGATTGTACAGCATGAGATTTAGGGTGGTGCGGGTGTTTCTCCAGCACAGGGTGCAAAGCCAAGGGGACGCAGAAGAGCCATAATTGACAAGATCCATTTGGGGACACTAGATTTTGGCCCTACCGCAGGGTACCATATTACGAAAGATTACCAAAGTCGATGGCTCGTGAGAAGAAAGAGAATGGTGATTGACACTGTGTACTGATTTATAAATAATGTCATGTGCAATAGATACCTATTTCTGGCTTAAAATTGCATGTAGTAATAGGATACCCAAAATGTTAATGCTTTCTTCAAGACTAAGGCAGAATTATAAAGCATTTATCTTGGAAATAGAATCTACATATCAACATAACCAGCACACATAGGAGTTAGATAAAATATAATTGGACCTGGAGTGTGTAATGAACATAAATTTCTGATTTGTTCTATTTTGTATCTTTCATATTTTGGTCTTAGTGCCCAGAACATGTCAGGTAGGTATAAAGAATAGGCAAGATTCTATTTAAAATATATAGAAACACAAAGGAATATGAACCTCCATTCCAACTTGCAACAACAAATGACAGTGCCACCTAGTGACACAATCATTATTATTATTATTAATAATAATAATGATGAATTCATATACTGCCCTATACCCGGGGATCTCAGGGCAGTTCACAAAATAAAATCAAGATATTAAACCACAAAATACATAATAAAAATAAAAACAACAACCCAATAGCCCCCCCCCCAATTTTTTTAAAAGGGGGTAGGATATAAATCATGTCAACCAAAGGCCTGGTTTAAAAAGAAACGTTTTTGCCTGGCACCTAAAGGTGTATAATGAAGGCCCAGATGAACTTCACTGGGGAGAGCATTCCACAGATGGGGAGCCACTGCAGAGAAGGCCCCTTCTTGTGTTGCCACCCTCCAAACCTCTTGAGGAGGAGGCACATGAAGGAGGGCCTCAGAAGATGATCTCAGGGTCTGAGAAGGTTTATATGGAAAGAGGCGGGCCTTGAGTTATTGCGATCCTGAGCCGTTTAAGGCTTTATAGGTCAAAAACAGCACTTTGAATTGGACCTAGAAACTTAACTGGTAGCCAGTGCAGTCAGACCAGGATCCGTGTAATATGCTCAAACCATCTTGTTTAACCTGTAGCTCTGTCCACACTCCATCCCAGTCTCCACAAGTGAGTTTCCAGGTGCACGTACTGTGTTCCCTTTGGGGATGATGAGGCACAGCAGAGACAGAGGTGTCTTTATGATATGTGGCTTATTTATACATATATAAAACTTGAGCCTACAAGGAGGGTTGCACAGCATTACACCCCAAGAGGGTCCTTTGCTTCTCGCATAGGTGCAGCAGGCTTGGAGATCTGCAAACAGAGAAATCAATGAAGCTCTCTGTGTCTCTTCCTCTTGCTTGCCAAACCACTTGCAAAGCTGGCACATTTTTTTCCTGTTTGCCTGCTCTACATAATCCATCCTGAAATCCTAAACCTCTTTGCTCTCTGTCCAGCAACACAGCTGGAGAAAGGGCTCCCTACTCCTTGCCTGCTACCTCTTTGACTTATTGATGGCTTCCTTGGTGGGTTAATGACTGGCCACCATTAGCCTTTGTTCTCCCAGTCACCCATATCCAACTACCTCTGCCAAGCTGGCCTGTCTCATTAGCACGAATGAAACCCAGGGGATTCCGTGTTGGGTTCAGTTTAATCAAACCTTAGTTACTTCTAACTTTTGCTAATTCTAGGATTTTTGGGTGTTTTGCACCCACAGACTCTGGCCTCCAAAACTTATAACAATATACAAGAAGAAAAAAATCAAATCGAAATAATTTTAAAACGCTTTTTAAAATGTGCTACCAACTCCTGCATCTAAAAGTCTTCAAAGGTTAAGGGAAACAGAGTATATTCAATCTTATTATCTGTTTGTAAAGAAAAGAACAATTAGCTGTGCTTCCTAGCAACAGACCAAAGTAATTATTGGCCATGGGCCAGTGAAGTGTGCCTGCAGCCTCTGTACACCAGCACTAACTTTTCAGAGATATTCCATGCCAGCTGCTGTCCCCACAGAATCTCCACATTGTGCCCCAAACTCCCAGATTTGAAAAGCAGTCTGAGTAATTGGGATGAGAATTCTTGGGACAGATACAGAGGGGGATACAAGGCTGTTCACCTTTTTTAAAATAAAAAAAGTTACCTTAAAAAAAGCACACCTTGCTTACTAGTGCACTTGTAAACATTGCACTTTGAGTTTGTCCTGAATTATAAGAAATCGTGTCCTCCCTAAAAGAGGGCACGTGTCGCGGTGAGAACTGGACACCGACCTCCTGTGTTGTGGGTGGGGTGAGATGGGACAGCCACAACACCCGATTGGTAGGTCCTTGTTGTTGGGGACCTATATATACCCATGCACGTGACCCAGAGCTTCCTTTTTCAGCTCGTGCATTGGAACACCCGCCCACCTCTCCCTACTTTTAGGGCATTGCAATTGACCTTGCTATGCCGTCGTCTGTCATTGGGACAGGCATGGCAGGAATTTCCCCACTTGGCTGATTGGCTGTTGCCATTTGGGTTTCGCCTGCTGCGTAGCAAATTGTCACAACTTGTAAGGTTGCGGATAGGCTCTGGTCCAGGTGATATGGATGGGAGAACGCTCTCGCCATCCCTTATGTGAAGGGTATTCCGTTAAAGGAATCCAAGGACTCAGCTGGTTTGGTCAACCCCCAAGAGGGGGTTGTTCCCATGCCTGAGTCCAGGGGGGCATCTGGGTGGCGGAGTTAGCCCGTTCCCGGCTTTCCACTTATCCAGGTGTTCACCCTCGGCTGACCTATGCTGGTGCCCTGGGTCAGCGCTACCTGCATGGCAGGGAGCTAGTCAAACCAGAGCCTATGCAACCACTCACCTTCTGTAATCAATAAAGTTGTGGCCTAAATTCTGCCAAAAACCAAAACTAAAATTTGAGTCAAGTGTGTATTTAGGGGGGGTGGTCTCTGTGTCTGAACATGCAAAGTGTTGCATTGTACACTCCGAAATCATATATGTGGTTTTGTACCTGGAACTTCTCAAAACTTTTCCCACTTTCTAAACTACAAGTGCATAACCAGTATTCGAACTTTCATTGTACCATGAATGATCTGTAGCTTCAGATTATCCAGATTCATTGCAGATCCTCAGATTTATGATAACACCCGGTAAACAGCACTTTAGCGCATCAGTGTTCACTGTCCGGAAATTCTTACTGTTAGTTCTACAAGATAGATTGGTTTTGGAAAAGGGCAGGAAGTTCTTTCCCTAACAGGTACAAAACATAGCCCTTTACAGTTCAGAGGAAAATGAATGTTTATTTACTCCCGCTTCATGGCTCAAGCATAGAACAGAGTCCCTTGGATGTTACTGAACTGTGCATCTCTTTAATATCTGAAAGAAACCTGGAGGAAAGCTCTGCAAACCCCTCCAGTTTCCCGCCTCCCTAACAAGGGCTTTCTACTTTTCTCCAGGCCTTCTGGGGGTACTACTCTCCTCCTTATTGATTGCATTACACATCCTGATCCCAGCTAAGTCATGCTCACCTGTTTAAAGCTGTTGAGCTGAAAGGGTAATCCAACCCTAGCATCTCAGTGCAGATTGGAAATAAGGTGCAATCAATCTCCTGCAGGCCTTTCAAGGTACATGAATATTGCATTCCAAACGTGCTCTCTCACTGGGCACAGCACAAAGGTTTAGTCAGGCTTTGGCATAGGGGTAGGGAATTATCTTATTATCTGTCAAATGAAAATTCCTCCTTATAATACTTTTTCCTTCCTGAACTAAGCAAAGCTGGGTTTTCTTGTGCTCGCTATTTGCATACCTAGCCTCTTAGGACATATTACACAATCATGCCTGCCCAGGATTGTTTTAGCGGTTTGCTTATTTATATGGAATGCATCCTGCCCTATTCTAAGGGCTTAGTACAATGATTTGTTGTATAATCAAAGGGTATTATTTAAAGATACACGATGTGGGAACCTTGCTGAAGCTAAGCAGGGACCATGACTGGTTGGAGGCTGTCAAGGAACCCTGTGTATTTTGCTTTGAGTTCCGTTTGTGGAAAAGGCAGGACATTAAATGTAACAATAAAGTAAAATATTAAAATAGAATGAAAATGTCAAGTGTATTTTACTGCAACCCATTCACCAAAAGCTAGCCAAAGCAACACGATGTCGACACTGGCAAACATCTTAACATAATGCGTAATTGCATGGCAGCTCATAACTCTATCATTGTTGGGAGTCTAGCCAATAGCTTCTGGACTCTACTGGAAATTCCAGAGTCCTGATTTAATGTGCCATTCAGCAGACTGCTGGTCATACCAGGGCCAGCCAAAGATATTTCGCTGGCTTTGGAGGAGCAGCAAATGATGATTCTCCACCCAACCACCCATGTCAATACACACAGTAGCCAAGGCCAGTCAAGTTGTTTTGGCATCTGAGGTAGAAAATCCTACAAGTACCTCTTCCCCTTCTTGGAAGTAAAATACAATAATAAATTAAATAATTTAGCAGCTTGCTATCCATTCATGACACCCCAAATCAGCTGTTTCACTCTGATGAAAAGTAGGGCCATGTCTGTGAACCATATCTGCACCATGTTTACATAGTTTGTGAGGCAGTCTGACTTGCCTATTGTAAACCAATCACCCAGGAAGCCCATGAATATTTTTGGGTATACAGTTTTGCTCTTGCATAGGGAACGGAAAATCTCACTACAAATTCCAGTCACTTCCCCTATTTGTATACTCAGTCGCCTGGTGATGTATTGACAAGTCAGTTCCTAAGTACCCTGGAGTTTTCTTGTCGCTTTCTTTCAACTTCCGATTCAACAATGGATTGTTCAAAGGTTGATATAGTAGGACATAACCTGGAGTTATTTTATAATATAAGAGATGTGTACGTAACCTACATAGCAACAAAGCCAGAAACTTTGTAAATATTGACTTTTGCCAGTAATCATAAACCTTTTATTTGAATGCCATAATGGGAGGGTGGCAGAAGAAAAGGCTGAGGGAGCTGTCTGGTCTCTTCATTGGTTTCAACAAGAGTGCCGCCATTTGTAGTGTTTTGCAGGTGTAATGTTACATTGCCATTAGGGACAGAGACAAGCCCTGAGGAAATACAGTGGTACCTCAGGTTACAAACACCTCGGGTTACAAACACTTCAGGTTACAGACTCTGCTAACCTAGAAGTAGTACCTCAGGCTAAGAACTTTACCTCAGGATGAGAATAGAAATCGTGCACTGGCAGTGTGGCAGCAGCAGGAGGCCCCATTAGCTAAAGTGGTACCTCAGGTTAAGAACAGTTCCAGGTTAAGAAAGGACCTCCAGAATGAATTAAGTTAGTAACCAGAAGTACCACTGTATAGATGTTTGTCTAACTTCAGCTCTGTCCCTAGCACACCGCCAACTCTGACTCTCTTGCTTCTCCTGGTGGTTTTTGCCTAAGGTAGGTAAGCCACCTTAGTGACAACAGTGACACTATGCTACCATATTCCCTATGACAGCATATCCTTGAGTTCTGGCATAGGAAGATTTAGAAGAAATCTCACTCCAGCAGAGAGTGTAAGTAGGGCCGGTGGAGCATTGTTTTAGCTTTAGAAAGGCGGCATACAAATAAAATGATTGATTGATTGATTGATTGATTGACTGATTTAATTTCATTCAGT